ACACAAAATATTCACAAAAACAAAAAACATTTGCAAATATAGTTTAATAGTTTTAATATTTTTTATTTGAATGACAAATTAACTGCATACAGTCTTAACTTACAGTATAATCGACTGCTTTTACAATAAAATAATTTGACAAATAGTTGGCTATCTGTGATTAATTTATACAAATCCACTAATTATTTATTAGATTTGATTCGGTGTTTGGTTCATAAATAATAATAATAATAGTATTTTAAAAATTATTTTTTATACAAACATTTAACGTATGATTTGTTTTAAACGAAAATATTGCCAATTAAAATACAGTAATCAAAAATAAGGGAATTTAACTATTTTGCACATATTTCTAATTATAGACAATTTTAGTGTAATATCACAATCAATGAAATCATAGTTTATAATTGACATACAAAAATAACACTATATTTAGTCATTTTCTGGAAATGATTAGACATTAAATGAGTTCATAAAATAACCGATTATTGCAATTGCGGGTAAGATTTCAGTCGAAATATAATATAACTTATTCACAAACAAATGCATATTTTATATTAGAGACCCTAGACAGGCAGGAGATGCCTTCACGGCAATAATGTTGGCCGCCGCATTGACTTAACTTTCTAGTGAAAGGGGTGTCTTGGCGACAAATCAAACACCACTTTACGGCTGCCATTAGTGCCGTAGTGGGAGTCCGAGCCCTTAAGGGTAGCGCAGGCCGTGTAGTTAGTGTTGGGATTGATTTCAACGGGAGTTTTGAACATAACTCTGAATGTATTGGGCGTTCCGTCGCAACTGAATGTCGTGTCATTAGAGGCCAACAGTTTTCCAGAGCCGGTGTGTATGATCTGAATGGTCACGTCGTAGTCGGAGGGCCCGTGGATTGAGCCGTAGAGACCGAAGCCAATCACAAATATCCTCCGGTCGACCGTAAACCGGATCCTATCACTGGTCCCGCTATAACCCCAACGACTTTCGGTTCTTTGGAATCGAGAGACCACTTGCTCTTTGCCTGTAATACAACATCGGGGGACGTCTGGGAAGGGAACCGTTGGCTTCGGGTTGACCGTGAAGTATAGGAATAGAGAAACCTATGGAAGCAACCAATGAAACAAAGGTTTATAAAAATCATGAAAAACGTGAATCCAATGAATCCAAGCACTCGTTTGACTCACAACTTCCCGATCGGTGAGAATCCCGGACTGCGCCACGTCTACAGCGAACTCCTCGACAGTCATCAGCGGAAATCGGATCAAATAGAGCGCGCGCGACAACATCTTGCGCTGATTGTCCGGGTTGTCGGCCATAGTCTTTCGCTGACATTCCTGTTCAGCCCATCGGACCACTGCGTTGAATAATACCACTTCTCTTATCCTAAGAGTATCTCTCTCGAGGACTGTTGTCAACGTATCAAAATCGATGTCTAAAAAACCCTCGGCAGCCAATGCCTCGACGGTGTGCTTATCAATTGTGTCCAAACACATGGCCGCCAATTGGGTCTCATCGAAGAGTCGCGCCTAAAGTGGTTTTATTAGTGTTTAAATCAATCCTTAATTAGTGTCCAATGAGTGCATACTTGAGTCAAAAGCATGAAAGCGTTATCTGAGGAGAGGTTTGACTTAAGAAAGTCGACGCAAGCCTTTTCCAGCGCCGGCACCGCATACTTCTTAGCCGTGTATAGCTATAAATGCAGTAAAATTACAATTAATATCATTGCAAATGCTGTGAATTGAGAGGACATACCGTAGTCATGACAGTCTCGGGTCCGATCTGCACCTCATCGGTGTATAGGAAGCGGAGAAGCGCGAGAAAGGCGGCCGGCTCTACGTCTGGTAAATCGATTTCGTCATTCTTGGTGGCCATCGCGCCGTTGAACATGGCGTCAAAGACGGCGCTCCCGATGGACAGCACGAACTTATGGGCCGGGGTTCGCAACTGTTGCCCCCCTTTACCCACCAGGAAGTGCACGTCAGCCAAGACTTCGCGGTTGAAGATGGCGGCCATACGGTCTTTGATGGACCCTTTGCTCGCCTGCCAGTTGAAGAGCACCTGATTCGGCGATTGACTGAAGTTGAGGGCCGACACCGAGTTGGACGACGAGCTGATGGGCATCGAAGTGGTCGGTGCGTTGAATGGCATCTCTATATCGCGCCGATAGCTATTGGACTCGCGATTCGGCGATTGGTTTGTCACTTGATTTACTGGTGGTGTCGATGACTGTCACCGCAAACATAGATAAGAGATAAGCCAAGAGTTAGCTTTGTGGACAACATAATTGGCACTCAATTTGCATTCAATTATCTTAAAATTAAATGTTTGCATCAAATGTCTTAACAATGTCTTTAGATTTGTGTGACAATTGATGGGCAAATGAATATGAGTTTAGTATAAATATACGCTATAAAGAGACAAATGAATGACAAATACATTAATGACTTCATTGTCGAAGAATTGCGAGGAATTGGTGGTCGAGTCGATGGCAGACATGGAGTTATCGTCCGATGCGTTCATCTGATCCATTAACTGCACGTTATTTGGGTTATGGTTTCGGTTGGCATTGAGTGGTGAGGAAGGGGACGAACACGAGGTTTGTTTGCCATTTGGGTTGCAATCCATTGAGTGGTTAAAGACAGTGAGACATCACTTCCCTCTCGCAGACAATCACTTCATCAGACAATCACTTCATCTGACATTCAATTGTCTGTTGTTTTGATGATTCACGCAATCATTCAATGATGGGTTCACTCAATGGCTGTGTTTTGCAAGCAATCCGTTAGTCGTCGCTCACGTCTGACACAAGTCTCACATTTGTATCAATAGTTTCGCCATATTTTTATTGTAACGACAATTGCCGGCAGTTTTCGCCAATCATTTCATTCACGACAAGCGCACCATCGCTGACACATCCCTATCACTATCACCAACTGATCTCACCATTTATGCCAACCAATGGGTGAAGAGTACCTTGAGTCAAAGCTATGGTTTCCAAACAGAAAAGTAAACTAACTTCGGTAGTAACCAAGTGTGTAACTACTCACGAAACTAACAGGTCTGTAATTCTAGTTCTCACTCGGGTCTCTATTCCTTAGGGAGAGAGAGAAGGACAGGGATCGCGACAAAGACCGCGATAAGGATAAGGATAAGGATAAGGATAAGGATAAGGATAAGGATAAGGATAAGGACAGGGATAGGGAACGGGACAGAGACCGCGATCGGGGCGATAGGGATAAGGACAGGGATAGGGATAAAGAGAGGGATAAGGATAGAGAGAAGGATAGGGAGAGGGATAAGGATAAGGAGAAAGACAAGGATAAGGAGCGCGTGAAGAGCGAGAGAGACAAAGACCGGGATAAGGATAAGGATAGGGATAAAGACAAGGACAAGGATAAGGATAAAGATAAGGATAAGGAGCGGGAGGCGCGCCGTGAAGGGGACCGTTCCTCCCGACGCCATAGATCGCGGTCTAAGGAGAGGTCTTCACGACGAGAGCGCGACAGAGAGGGTCAGAGCAGAAACAGACACTCATATTATCAGTCAATTTGTCTAATTGTGTAAAAAAGTTTTCAAAAATCTATTGTTCAATAACTAAATAAATTGTAAAATTTACGTAATATTTAATTTATTATAACATACGATATCTTTAATCCAATATGAAATAATTTTAAATTATATAAATAATATTTAAGTTAATTATTAAAGAAATTTTATTAAATATAAGTTAAGCATTCATTTGAAAGAGTCTATTGTTATCGAAATAAAAATGATTTCCAAACTAAATGCCAACTGAACTCGAAATCAACAAAAGCTATTAATATATGAGTTATAATTAAAACACAGAATTTAAGACAACATATTGTTTTGTGCCTTAAGTTTCACAGATTATATGTCGTCTGTAGATAGTTTTTTGTGGACGAGTAGGTAGTTATAGGTTTAGGAGCACCAGAAGCTTATTCATAGAAATTATCTGCACTTTTGTGAATCAAATGACCGGAAAGATAATAAGTCTCTCTAAATATAATTGCTCTATCATTGGCCTATTTCTCACATTTAGTTTGTCAAAATACTACTGTATTTGAGTGCTTATCAAATGTAAGGTTTCTAAATAAATCATTTAATTGTCAAAACGTTAGTATTGAGATCGAAGTTTCATTTATTTATATTACAATACAATAAGTATATAATGTTTTCAATTCTAAAGAATCACTCAATTCTTCATATGAGAGACAAGAGATTGTTTTCATTATGCGATCCATTCTCTCAAATATTAGTAAAACAATACAATCAGACAGTGGACAGACACGAGTGTCAATTAGCTATATATTATACTGTATTGTATTGTTTATTGCTTTAGAAGCAAGACACTATTGTATAAAGTTTATACTATAATAGTAAACCATGATCATTTTGGTCAATTTATAAAAAGTTCGTCAATATTGACAATTCCTTTATATTATTTTTTGGACAACACGTGTAATCTAAGAATCTAACCATTTAAGCATATGAAATCATTCATTTACTCTCATGAGAGTCATCACACAATAGATCAATTAAAATCTTAATATCAATTAATACCTGAGAGAGAGAGAGAGAGAGAGAGAGAGAGAGTTACTGGCATTTTAAAAACCATCTGTTATATAATGCAAACACTGATCACAACTTTTATCAATTGATAATCTAAGAGCAAAACTATAGTAATTAGAAGTTAATGCGTTTATTTAGTAATGCAATCAAATAAAGTGATAAACAGTTTGAGCTAAGCCTTATTCATAATAGTTGAGAGTTTTCTAAATGCTCGTCATATATTACTACCTGGATAATATTTTATTGGTTCTACATTAAATTATTTATCATTAACCGTTGATATATTTTCTGTCTATATGTCAACTATATTTTCCATGTAATTTATTATGTTTAGTTAACTAATTTAGTTTAGTTTATAAATTATCTACCAATTTGTGCTGTGTTTTCCATTTCTATGTGAACTATAGTAATTTACAATATTACAAGAATTTAAGAATTTAAATATTTTTCTATATTTTAGAGTTAAATATATGGGTTTGAGAAAAACTCAGCTTACTATATAACTACATAATTGCATAAATGAGTTAAATTGTATAGAAACTATTTTCATTACACAGTTATTATACGTAGTATTCAATTAACTTGTAATAATGTCAATGATTTAAAATAATTTATTTATATAATGTGATATTTACCTAATCACTTGAATACACTTTTCTAATTTTAATGTTCAAAATACTGTACAGAATTACTGTTAAGATTTGATAGGTGTTTGATGACTATTTTGATACTTAATGTTAACTATTATACTATTGAACGATTGGTTAGGTTAGGTAAGGTAAGGTAAGTATGGAAAAGCAATTTGTTGTAAATGTCGAGTGTTCATAGGAATATAGAAAAAGGTGATATAATTATCATTTGATAAAAACAAATTTTCTCTACAAGTAAACCGATGTAGAGTTGAGTTTTGGTTCACAAAAAGCTAAATAAACAGAATTATGAGTTATAATAAAATTTTACGGCACAAACTCGTCGAAAATCAAAGCTCTTATGCTTACTAATAATAATGCAATAAAACTTTTATATTCAATTGATTTCTCCTAAAATACTCGCACGTTATCAAAATGTTATTCCCATTAAAAAGTCATATCAAAGTCAAACTGTTGGCATGAATATTCTGTTGAGTAAAAACCTAAATTGAATTCAATTTACTTTTCTAATAGAATTGTCTGTTTATACATTAAATATAAGTGAGTCCTCGGAGAATGAAACTTCATTTCTAAAAATATTGTGCCGGATATTAATGTATTCATTATTTACTCAAACAGTGCCCACATTTAACACTTTTTGGACTCCAACTAATTCAGCGCTCAAATTACAAATTATTACACTTTAATCCATAATTCACACAAAAGTGTACTCTTTTTATTCCGGCACAAATAAATTCATTGAATTAATCAAAATTCCTGCCAATCCTTTCCCATACATTCATTCAATAGATTGCTGTGAATCTCATGAGTCGAGTGAGGAATAACTCAAACGTTAAGAACTTGTTATTGACTCTCATTTAAGTTGAAGTGATTTTCGGCAATAAATTCTGGTTATAAACAGTATATCAAATGCATTGAAACCTTTTGAATAAATGAGACCTAAAGTAACGACAACACAATAAACTATTAATTTTCAGAGTTTAGGCTTTCCTAAACTTTACGATTGCCGTACTGTACACTACACTACTGTATATACTGTACGATTATAAAGTATCTTCATTATACAGTACTAACAAACATTCTTGTGTTACAATTGCTATATTTCTAAAAACGATATTTCAAACAAATATAAAATCAATACAGTATATAGCTACGGTTACTTTTGAAATCAGTTATCCTGCAAATTAATCAAAAATTTATAATATAATTTACAATAAAATTTAATGAAATGACATATGAATACAATACTATATTCATTGTATTCCCATCGTATTGTATGATAGTCTATACACCTTATAAGACAAACGTAAGGAGCAATTCATAAATTGATTAAATCCTATATCTCACACATACTATTTGATTATCATTGGACTCACCATTGCAAGCATGTAAGCCTACATTTAGTTCAGCATTTAGAGGATTTGTTTCCAGATTATTGTACAGTATAGTTGTGTATATAAATTGACTGCACAACTATTTGATCCTATTTCGCAATGAAAGCCACTAATTTCCAATGGCTTGGGTTTCCAATAAGTACCGTAAGTTTGAAATAAAATCAATAAACTGCATCATTTTGCAATTAAATAATAAATTGTCATTTTATTCAATTAAAACAAATCATGCTTATAAAGAAAAACTCAAAATATTTAGCATTTCATGAGTAAAAAATGAATTCAAAATAATTACTTAAATTATCGATTAACGAAATAAATGATTGAATGAGTGGTCGAAAGGTGTGTTAGAACTCTCTTCTGTGGTATTTGTCGGGATCGAAGAAGGAGGTGACGACTACTCGGTTCGCAAACTTACGGCCCGTTAGGCTTTGTTGCGCTTTTTGGCAGTCAATCGGGTTATTAAACTCAATGAAAACCTTTATATTAAGCAATAATTCATTAATAAAATTAGCAAACTTTCAAATGAATGCAAGTATAGGCCATACCTTCCCGAGTCCGGGCACTTCCACGTCTTCAATAGGTCGGGGAATTTCCAACGACTTGACGGCACCGTATTTGGCGCACTCTTCGCGAATATCTTCGAGTATATCCTCATATTCTTCGTCATCATTGAGTTCTTCTGCCACAACCATATTCATGAGACACAAGACATCGGTGGGATTACCGATACCTCCGGACACGTTTTGAAGGCCTGGCACTTGTATCTGAACGGGCGCTGAGATGGCAGCGGCACCGGACAGAGCAGCGGCCAGTGGCCCGCTCTTAGCGCCTACACTGGCCCTCTGGACAATCAACTTCTTGTCGCCCAATTGCATGCCATTGAGTCCCGCAATCGCCTAAAAGAGCAAAATAAACGAAAAATTGCTAAAAAGAAAAAAGTGCTGAAAATGAAACAAAAGAAAACCAAATTAGAAATATTTTGGTCTCTTTTAAGTACGAAATCTTAATCTAAACTAAAAACGTATAACTCTTCTCAACGGGAGTCGATGAAAACGCTGTTAAGCAATGACATCATTATATGTGTTATAGAAATATTGTCTCATAGCTGTGAAATGAGTAACAAATTGAGTGCACATTAATGGACACATACCTGATCCGTGATCTGAGTGTCGGCGTATTCACAAAAAGCGTATCCTTTGGAGAGTCCGGTGGCGCTGTCTTTCACCAAATTAAAGGCTCTTAACTGACCGAAACTCATCAATAGCTCTATATTTAGACAATAAGTCTTATTAATTACATATCAATTCCTGAATCACTCAAATCCTATCAAACCTTTAACTTGATCTTCATTCAGGTAATTAGGGAGACCACCGATGAATATCTTAAATGCCGAGTCGTTCACAACAGTGGATATGACTCCGGGAACAGTTGCCTGTGGCTGTTCACTCATTCCCGGCATTGGCTGATAATCATGTGGTCTACGAATCTTCAACGACTGTCCTTTAAAATTAATGCCATCGAAAGCCATGGCTTGAGTCGTCTCATCAATCGATCGGAACTAATCATAAATACAAAGTATCACTAAATTAGTTCTCATTGAATGCTTTGCATAAAAATATGATTTTAAAACAAAACTGATGCAAAAATTAGTTAATTTAACAAAAGTATAGACTTTTCGAAATAAAAGGAAATATAAATCGATTGAAACAATCGACTCTTGAAATCCTTTAAACCAAAAAAAGTCGTTTATTGTGGCACTCATGCGAACTCTCTGACCATAGAGTGGACAGAAAGCTATTGAGTTCGAGTGCTGTCCAATGCATTGAAATAAGAGATAATTGCAAACCTCGAGGAAAGCGAAGTTCTTGTCGAGATTGATCTGACAGGCGAGCACTGGACTGCCCGGTGCCTGACTGAAAGCGCAGGCATGCATTTGCGCGTTGAAAAAGTCCATCATTTCCTCTTCACTACAACCAAACGGAATATTCCCTAAAAACATTGCAATCATTTGACGTGAGTTTGCATTCAAACAAAAGACAATCCAATGAATGACAGCAAACACTGACCGACATATAGACGTCTGGCCTGTCGTGTGATAGTACTGCCGACGATAGGCACGGGTGCGGTGCCGGGAGCCGCGAATAGAGTGGTAGGTATCTGTCCGGCGGCTTGCATTGCCTTGTATTGGGCGGGACTGATGTGTTCAAAGCCGGGCGGCGGGACATCCCAGTAGTTCGACTCCTTCTTCCGGCGACTGATTTTGCTTCGGTTCGGAGATCGCGAGCGGTTCCGATCGCGCGACTCCTCTCGTTTGCGGCGCTCTTCGCGACCTTCTCCGCGACCCTCTCTGTCGCGCTCTCGTCGTGAAGACCTCTCCTTAGACCGCGATCTATGGCGTCGGGAGGAACGGTCCCCTTCACGGCGCGCCTCCCGCTCCTTATCCTTATCTTTATCCTTATCCTTGTC